TAGCGGGGCGCTGCTGCCAGCCTCGCCGTGGCCGGGGGGACGCCAGAGCGGGCTGAGCTGCTGCTCTTTTCCTGGTGGTACACGGGGCTGGGAAATTAAGGGCAAGGGATCCTCGGGCGGGTCAGAGCATCTTGTGGTCTTGTCTGCTGGGCTTCCCACTTCTCTTCCATTTTTCTTAATATTTGACTTCGTGTTGAGGCCAATGCTGCAGGCACGAGCAAAGCTGAGCCAGAGGGAGCTCTCGTGACTCCCAGGCAGTTTGTTGCAAGTTAAACCTGGGTGATGAATTGACTTTGCTGCTTGTGGCACAGAATTTTCACCTCATTGCATAATCACATCTTTGCTTTTATCTTCTTAGCAGTGGTGCAGGGCTTTATTTTCGTTTTTGTTTTGTATGTATATGATCTTCTGGTTTGTCTTGAACTTCAGGAATTACCATTAAATGCATATATGGGTAAATCCCCAAGCCACAGAGTATGTTTAATATCTGAAACTCGTTTCTATTTATGGAATTTCTTGTCATCTGAGCCTGTCCCTTTAAATTAGGTTTCTTTATCAGTAATACATATCAGTTGCTAAGGGAAAACTGAATCTGAGTCGAGTCGTTCCAAAGCAAAGCTGAGATAGCCTGAAAAGCTATCCTGTCATTTCCACAAATTCTCTTCCTTCTCTTTTGCCCTGGAGTCCTTAGTTCATAGTGTTTAACACTCAGAGTCACAAAAAATAAGGCTTTAAGGGATAGAGGCAAAAGATTAATTTCAAAGGACATGCAGCACTTGCAGTAGCCAAATACACAACAGAATATATTTTGAACCCACTTTCTGGTGAACAGATGTGGGTTATTCAATGCTTGTTGCTTTGCAAGTCTGCAGACGGAAGAGTAGTTGGGCTTGATACTGAGGTGGGTTTTTTTCCCAGATGCTCCTTTGGATCTGTTTCTGGACTTAACCAAAATGCCAGTACATGGATATAAATACTTCTGAAAAAAGAATTCAAGTTTGGGTGACAGAAGCCATGCATTTCAGTATGGCACTCTGTTGTTCAAAATGCTGACTACCCAGCAGAATTTGTATGGGGCACAGCTGGAGGGCGTCTGCCTTTGAAGGTCAGGAGTTCCTCAGTGGCCTTAGACTTCCCAGTAATGTTATTTCTAAATCTGGCTCTGATTTACCGTGTTGGGTAGCTTTGTTTTCATATATGCTATAGGAATTATTTAGGGTTTTTACTTTTCTAGAAAGCCAACATTCCTTTTTCTACAGTTTGTTTTGGTTTGGTTTTGGGTTTTTTTAGGTTTATTGGGATTTCTGATGAGAGGTGTAGGAGAACCTGTGAAATAACAAGCTGCAAGATGAAAAGAAATTCTGGCCTAGATTTTCAAACTAAGATTGAAAACAGTATCACAGTTTCAGTGCCCCATTTTGCTGCTGTTGCCATCAGTGGCTGCAGTCCTCATGACTCTGATGCTGCGGATTTTGCTGAATATTTTATTCACTTTATAGAATTGGAAGTTGAAAAATTGGAGAAAACTTCAAAGTTCTTCCTGTGTGGGAATCTTGGGAATACAGTGATAGTGGAATGGTTCGGGAATTAGAAGAGTTAGAGCTTCATTGATGGTGCATTGAAAGTCTTTTATATGCTACAACCCAAGTTCAGAGTTTAAATTTTCTCGTTATTTTTCCTACAGTTAATAGCATCACTACTTCTGGATTCCTTACATTGCTTCATTGGCTGTATCAAAGGAAATTAAATAATCTTGAAACAGTTCCAGATACAAAGTTCGCGGAGAGGCCTCATCTTCGAAATAGATTCAAAGAGCAATGTTATTTCTTTCGAGGCTCTTGTATCCTGTCCTACACATTGCCAGTCAAATCCAGTTTAGTAAAAACTCTGGACTCAGATTTTGGAAGGTAAATATTGGGAAAAGCCCCACATACTTAAAAAGTAGAAGTTGCAGTCATGTTGCTCACTTTTTAACAGTTTACACTGCAGCCAACTGCGTTTATTTAGCACATAAAATATAAATGGGCTTTTACTGCATTTTACAAAGTTGCACCTATTTGAAGATGAGATTAGGCCATTAGCCACAGAGAACTAACGCATCTTCCTTGAGCAGAATTCCAGCTGAGGAGCTGCTGCTTGCCCTTTGGAAGTCTCTTTAGCTGTCTCTGAACAGCTCTGTGCTTTCTTTTGTGTACAGGACACGGAAATTCTGAACACCGCAATTCTCACAGGAAAAACAGTGGCAGTGCCCATCAAAGTGGTCTCCATTGAGGAGAACAGTGCTGTGACAGACATCTCTGAATCAGTTGAGTGCAAATCCTCTGATGAAGACGTCATTAAAGTAAGTTCATGCCCTCTATTGGCTTCTGAGATTTCATGTTGTTTTATACACAAAAGGATAATAGCCTGAGAACGACTACTGAATCAATTCCTGCAATTTAATTGTACTGTGGTTTCAAAAGCATAGGGAGAGCTTTTTAAGAAGAGGGGGTTAGGTGCAACAGTACAGCCGCCACACTGAGTTTCCATAGAATTCCAGCATTTAATTTTTATTTTTGTTTTAATTTTAAAATGTCTTGGTAATGTCACCTCAAGCCCTCTGTGCACAGAGTTCATTTGCTGCAAAAACAGCTCTGCTGCCTCTCCAGATGTTTATTATCACCTCTCCAGCTGTGATTATCACCTCCACAGCTGCATCAGTGGAATGGATTGGATGACTGTTCCCCAGCAACTGCAAGACAAAGTCATCCTGGTCGACTTCAACATTCTGCTGAGAGCTGTTTTGAATGAACAGCTTGATTCTGCACAGAAGTGGCTAGAAAGCATTCACGTGATGGGTCCATCAGGTCAGCACCAGCAGCTGGCATCGCCCAGTGACAAACACCACTGGGGTAGCACTGTCTGAAGGCAGCACAGCTATTTCTGCGGTGGATATGTAGTCACAGCCCTGAAGGAATTTCACAGTTGAGCAGGGGGTCAGTACCAAGGCAATGCCCCGCATGAATCCCCTTGCACTTCCCATACAGGACTTTGTGATGCATCATCTTTGAGCAAGGGTGATTTTGCCCTCGATCTCCAAGCTCTTTTGAATAGGGATTTTGCTATATTATGAAATTTTACAGTATATAGTGCAGCAGGCATTGTGCTGATACTCGTTAGTGGTCTTTAATATGCTATCAGCAGTCTTGGATGTATAGTATGCAAACAGGAATGCTGCAGCATTGTGTATTACAGTCAGTTCAGCTTGTGGGTTCGTGGAAGGCAATAAAACTCCCGTGAACTTGCAGGATCCAACAGTTTGCTGCACTGTTGTAGAATTTATGTAGAAGCATTTATTATACCAGTAACCAAGTAAGTGGGAAAAATAGTCATACTTTGAACTAATGAAGCCTTTATAGAAGAATTTACAAAAAGCTTTGTTTTCAGTGGATCCTTCAGAGCCAACCAAATCTCTCTGGTTTGCTGGAGCTTGAAGGGCTCCCATATATCAGATGCTTTACAGCGTTTTTAATCTCAAATAGTTCCTGTTAACCTTTTTCCTAAGGTAGCCACCTAACTACAAATCAACGTAAAAGCTGCAATTTAATTTAGGGATCATCCTGATTGTAACCTTATTAGAAACCACTTTCCTGAGTTTAAAAAAAAAAAAGTAAAATAGTATTCCTTAAAAAGGTCGTATTGAAATTAAAATAGATTCAGAAAAAGACTACTACATCCAGATTAAACATCTTGCTTAAACAGCTTTAAAAATGACACCAAATAATTCCAGCCCCATGGAGATTTCATCTCTCCAACAGTGATGACAACTGGTGTTAAGTCCTTCCATTCAGAGGAAGATGTGGGTCAGGGAAATAATACATAGCTCATGGGCATTTGTTGTACATCACCAGCTGATGCATAGAAAAATGACAGCACTATGATTTCCCAACTAAAAATACTTCTGCAAAAATGACTTCTGGGTTTTATAGCTTTGGATTGATCAAGGAGAAATGAAATTCCCAAATCTTACAGAAAAAGAGAGTACTACTGCAGGAGTTGCAGTATAGCCTGGACTATTGCTGTTCTCCAACAATTTGTTTGGAAAAAATGTTTTCTTGAAGCACTATGTCCTTTTATTAGCACTTGGGACCCTGCTGTGCTCTTCTCTTATTTTCTACAGAAATAATTTATCTCTGCTAAAAGGATTTCTTAAAATGGAGCCTGCTTGCGCTATTGGAACATTTTTTAAGCAGCTTCCAGAAGCCACCCTGTCTGGCCACTCTGAAGCTGAAGGAAAACAAATAACTGGAGGCTAACACACAATGTTTATTGGAATTGACTAGAGAAATTTTTCAGGTGTAATTTCTTTCTCTTTGGAAATGTTTTGAAATTGCTCAGATGAATAAAAAAACTATCTTCTGTGTATTTAGAAATATATGCAGAATGTCTAGAGGAATGTATCTGTGACAGGAGAGCTAAATGCTACAAAACATACAGCTACTTAAAAAAGAGAGTTCAATGAAATGCTTTGACAAAAAGGTTTTATCATCTCGTCATAAAGGAAAAGGGGTTGTTTTTTTTGTCATCTAGAATGTTCCAGTTTCCAGGAAATTTCTTTATATGACAAAATGAAGTTTGAGGTTCAAGTCAAATTGATGTGTTCATATTGGTTCTGATTTGTAAAGCACTCGGCTTCAAATAGAGCACAAAGGCCTTTCGTCCTTAATTATTTTTGAAATTTCCCATCAAGCTTTTATGTTAAATACTTTGGATATATCATCTTCTTCTATAAAATACCCTTTTAGAGACCTTGTTTGTATTAACCTTTTTCTGTTTAAAAAAAAAATTAATCCACTTAATCCAGTCCTCATAAATTATATCTGCTGAGAGAAGATCATGGTATATTCAACGAGGAATGTGTACATGTGCTTACAGTTCATGTTCCTGGGTATCCCTGTCATAGCAGAACCAAAACATGTTTACAGGTGTGGAAGTCTGTAGATTAATTTAAGCTACAAACTATGAAAAAATGAGTTGTTGATGAGAGCTATTTAATATTTAAACATATTACCATCTAGAGGTTCACCGAGGTATTTTTGTTTGATTTCATTTGTGTGGAATTTCTGATAACTTTGTATTCGGGCAAACAGAACGGAATTAGGCTAGAAGCTGAAGATGATGGATGCCTAGTAGCACTTGGCTTGTAATATTTAGTCACCAAATAAATAAACATCCATTTGTACGGTTCACGTAAAGAGCCTAAAGGTGATGTTTCTGCCCAGCAATATGAATGGCCACGAGACAAAAGCTGATTTAAATTAATTTTTATACTGCCTTCAATTTGGCTGCGATTACATTATTCTCAGCAACAGAGCCCAGTGGAAATCTAAACCTGAGATATATCTGCAAATAACAGGTAATAGTTTCCCCAGTGGTCAGCATGGTCTCCAGGCATCACAGTGCACAGTTTGTGCTGACTACTCCTCCTTTTACTATTTTTATTGTCTCATAGTTTCAACTCTACCAAATTTACAGTTGATTTAATGAACTTTAAAAGTCTTTGAATGCTCTAGACCTTCACACAGCAGTCCAACCTTTTAAAAGTGGACACAAAATTTATTAGGGCACTAAAAAGGAAGCAACAGCCAGATTTTACTTTGCTGAGCTCGAATTTACCAATAGGATCCATATATCTGGATCCATTAATGGTAATTGCAGTTGCGTGGGTAGGCTCCTTTTCGTCCTTCAGAAATTCAAGTGGAACGTGGCTGCCTTTGCTGGTTCTTTTGTGCAGTTTGTTCAAGAGCAAATTCTGCTCCTGATTCCTGGGTGCTAGAAAAGATGTGGTTTCGTGCTGCAGAGAGTAGCACCTTTCCAGGAGACTTGCAATACTGTGTGACATTTCCAGTTTGGAAACTCTTGGTAATGCTTATGAAGTGGAGGAACTTAAAGTGTTACATCATAAGCGTTACAGACTAATCTTGTGGAGAATCAGTGCTTCTGGTCCTAAACATAGCTTGGAGATAATTGTACAGTATTTATTGCATTATAACAGATACTGAAAAAATATAACAAAGAGGGATCTGTTGGAAGAAAGCTCAAAACAAAGCTTCCCGTGGCAACTAAGGTTTCTTCCCTCTGCTTTCTTACCAGCAGCACCTGGAGACAGATAGTATGGTAGGTTGTGATGAAGTGTGATGCAAATTGTAATTTCAAGGAGAAGCAGAGTTCTGGAAGATTCCATCCCAGCAGAAACCCTGGCACGTCATGGGCACATGACATTGTCCCTCGTACTTTTCAAATCCAGCTGCATATGGCAGGATAAGCGTCCAAACTTGCATCGCGTTTCTGCACCTCAGCATACATGTATATTCTTCGTATGAGGCTTCATTGCAAAGCCTTAAAGACTCGGAGGATTTAGGGCTTCACATTATGTTTTTTAGTGCAGATTATAGGAGAAAATAAAAACGAGAGGCTGACTAGAAACAACTGGTCATTCCTACCATCTGTTTTGATCAAGGAAGATCACTAGCTTTCAATAAAAACCTCCTACAGCGAATTTAATGCAAGTGATTTATTGTTCATTGTTTTACTTAGGTCAAATAAAACTCTCTTTGGAGTTTGTTAGCTAGGTGCAACTGCTGTAGAGCTAAGAACACTGAATAACAAATAGGTGAAGAAACTTCTGGTTAAGACAGGTCTCATTCCTAACTCAACCCTGTGAAGCAAAGGGAGAAGTGAAAAAATCACACTATATGGGATTTCCAGGAATTTGATGTGGTCTAATAATAGACAGGCTATGTTCTGTGCAGTCGCTTTAATGTAATGGTCTCTTCTGTGGTTTTATGGCAGTCCTGCAAAATGGAGTGAAAGCACGGAGGGGTCAGTCTGAACAACAGCAGCTTCTGCCAGTCATCCTCCACTGTAATGCGCAGGCAGCTGCTCGGGGAGGGTTACTTCAGCCCGCAGATACTTCAGCCCACACAGTCAAAATTGTAGCAGTACTCTCACTTTGAAAAATAATGTGGTTGTATATTTTTCTGGGAGGAATGTAGAAAAATTGGACTACTCCTTCTCAGGTGCTTGTGTGTTCGTTCTCTGTCTTGCAAGTCTTCCCTTGGTTAGCTGCAGAATCAGGGGCTTTTGGATCCTGAGCAAGGGTCTCTGCATGGGCCTACAGGAACACACCAGCAGGCTGGGGACAGGCGTGTCACATCCACTGCAGGGGGCAGATACCCCCAAGGGCCACCACAAATCACCTTCTGGAAGTTTGATGTTCCGTAGCTGTTAAACTGCAGATACGGTTCCTACTCACCACGCCCTAATACAGCCTTGAAAGCCCTCAAAAGCAGGAGCTGTATT